GTGCTGCGTCCTGATTTATTATAGTGTTCGAAACACAGCCAGTTAGGCGTAAAATACTTTATCGCTTACCGGTATTACGAAGTGTAGGTCTGCGCCGAGTGATCCCTGAACAATGCGTGAGTGGATGTTCATTTGCCCAATCATCAGCACTTTTCCTTTTGGAATTTCCACGGCGAACGTCGGCTTTCGAATGACAATCGTTTCTCGTTCTTGCACTCTATACTCTGGCGTCAGGTACATTTCTTTTGCTTTAGTGGCGACCAGTATGGACCGCTCCAACGGGCGCACCATTGTGAACTGTAATTGTAGTCGATGAATGCAAGTGTTAGTGGTGTAGAAACCAAAAGTTCAGAAACAAAACTGCGACGTACATTATCGTCGGTTGAATTACGGACAACAGTGCGGCAGCCACGTCTATTACTAGCCAGAAGGCCACATTCTGTCGCTTGCTCCTGCAGTTTGCATAGCTGTACTGACGACAGTTGACGACACGAACTCTCATCTGGCACCGTCAGAAGGGAGGCTAGATTCGTATTCCCGTCGTGGTGCTTGCTGATTGCGTAGTGTCCTCCGACATTGTGTGTCCAAAATGAACTCATATTTTCGGAAAACTGGCCAAGCGGTTCTACACGAAGCAGGTAATCCACGTCGGAAATTAATGCTCTTGGGTAGCAAATCTGAAAACTTCATCGATTAAATATTTTGACAACAGAGTTGCTGTAATGTTGTCGCACCTTAATCTCCATTACTTTGCTATTCATTGCTATCACAGTAGCTTTTAAAGCATCCAGTGCGCTACTGCTGTGCATTGCCAACAGGGACTTGTTGAAGCGATCTCCCATAAGTACTTCAAACGCCGACGAAACACTGTTATTGCTCGTCGACGCCATGAGCTCCTCCGAAAATCTGCCGAAGTTGAAGAGCTCTCGAAGCGTGTTTTGCACTATTCTCCGCAACTCTTGCCTCACCCATGCAAAAGCTGTTCCGTATCGTGTGCTGAAATGCCCTCAATTCAAATAATTTTACACACAATCATTTACCACCGGCAGGCATTTTACATCCACAATTGCTTACCACGATGTTTCTACGGTCATAGTGTTACTAGCCCAGCTGAACGTCTCCACCAGCGAATGAAATTGTTTGTATACTTTCTAAAATCATTGTTTAAGAGTGTAACAGTGGACCTGTGGACTTCTACAACATCAATAGCATTTATCCATATGATGAGTAACCGATTTTAGCGAATCCCTTTGTCCTCCTGCGAAAAGACTCTCGAGGCCTCTGACAAGCAGTCCACCAAGTCCCATACCGATACCGAGTGCGACCATTCCGGTATAGGAAGAAAACTGCACTTGTGTGGACCTTAAAGTATTCATAGATTCATAGATGTTTCGCACCTACAACTGCATGCACAAGAATCACCTGTAAGTTGGTGTCGAAGCACGACGTTCATCGAATAGTTTTTTCATCTCAGCCTTATGAGCGGTCAAAGCTCCCGCTTTCATCTCTTCGTACACCTTTGTAACAGATAGATTATGGTGTGAAGGTACCTTGATGAGCTGTAATACTTACTATGTATCTAAGAGTTTCATTTACGAATGTTGCGTTGCTAGCTGTCATGAGATCCTCTTCGAAGGGCTTGATCGCAGTCTCAAACAGTCCGCCGTCTACATAGGCCGTATAATCTGAAGTGTAAGTTTCAGAGATCTATTGAATGCGGTAGCGCAAATTGCACTCACCCAGAAGCAGTATCCCGCAATCCTTGAGATTATCTGCCACTTCGCCTACGATTTCCGCATGAAGTCCATTACGCAGCAACTCCGCTTGCACTGCTGCATTCAGCTGCGGTGAGATGTGGTCCTCCTATGCCAGATACATTCCAAATTCACTGTTCCCGTTTTTGGTGCATAATAGCACCAGAAGAGCAATAGTCTTATAGAAATGGAATCCTTGCATTGCTCTGTAAACAAATACGAAGCGCATTGTCAGTAAGTTACAAGAAGTTTTATCCGGCCTCCATACTGGAATCAAATATGGCGAGTGTACCTCTACACATCTACACGTATGTCCTATGCAGAATTCTCACATGAAATTGTTTATACCAAAAGAACACCACGACTGATAATATAGAAGTCTGATAATTGCTCCCATCGTCTTGAACGATCCTCCTGCTGCAATTGAACGGGACTCCTAATCTTGCATTTCTGCGCACCTGCGCACTTCTTAGTTTCTTTTGTGTGCTGTTTTCCATCGCCGACCTTTAATAAGTCATATATTATTGTCATTCTTGTATTTTTAATTGTTTGTACCTATACTGTGTTCACCTTTTATGCAGCACATTCTCAAGTAATGTGCACCTTCATCCTCTCAGTTTCCTTTGCGTGTCTGCGTGTTTTTCCATAGCCGATCTCTAATACGCTATTTATTATTAAGAATATTGCACGTTGTGAATTGTTGATTGTTTTGTAGTCACACTGTGTTCACCTCCAGATTTTTGAGTATTACAGTTTGTCAGTTTTTTCTTGTTTTTTCAGCTGTTATTTGATTGAAGCATTGGTTTTATCGACCAATGGAATCTCTCGAAACCCATGATGGGGAAAAAATAAAATTCCAGTAGAACCGAAGAGGAGCTACCGAAGGAGAGTTTCAAAGAGTAAAGTCCCACCTGACATCAAAATAGAAGCAACAGAAACGCAATAGCAAAAGAAAAAAACCAAAGTCAAATTGTGTAAAAATGGAGAAAAAGGATGCTGAGAACAAGCAAAACACTGGAGAATGATCACCTTAACGCAATACTCCTGAAAACAATCAAATGTCGCTTAAGAGATGAGATCACAACAAAAAAAAAAAACTGAAAAAGAAACAAAAAGCAAAAACAATGAATCCTCAGAACAGAAAACCAACTTGAGGTCATTGAGGGGTATTGAGTCATCAGACATCATTTCTTCGTCCGGAAAAACGAAGGGATCCCCTGAAAATTATTCATTTCCGGCACTTACAAATATCATTTTCTGGGCTGCATACCGTGTTCCGCTGAAGTACCGGGTAGAATCGAAGTTTGAGGCAGGCATGGCGGAGAATTACCGCCTCGAAGACCAACATGGAAAAAGCGAGAAAATAGCTTCCTAGACGCCGTCTTTTTCTGAGATTTCTTTGGAGTGGTCATCTGAGGTGGTGGCATTGGGACAGTATTGCTCGGTCCTGGTATTGCTTCTGCCTGCTGGTCGCTCGCAGCTGACAAGAGCCTGGCTTGCTTTCTTGGAGTCTTTCTCGTATATGATGTGATGGAATCAGAGCTCTCAACTGAATGCGAATGGGAGTATTAACTATTAAGTAGCCTATGACCAAGTAGTATTTGTTGTGTATACCAATGAACTTCGAAGGAACGTATTCCACACTGCTATCCGTCGAACCGGAGCCCTCATCTGAGCTCTCATCGGATACCGGTTCCAATAGCCCACAATCCTCTTGAGCTTCCGCATCCGACAACTGTGCTGACGTAGTATTGAATCTGCATATTCAAAAGTGAAGTAACATAGAAAATGAGGATTCAGCACGCTCACCCCTTGAATTTCACACGTCTTTTGGCGGCTGAAACTTCACTGTTAAGTGAAGCCTCTCTCTCGGCCAGTATCTCTAGTGCTCGATACCCACTCACTGCACTCTTCACGTCAGAATCAACGTAGTGTTTGAGCTGGGTTTTTTGACTATGACCTAAAAACAGTCTACCGTGTTGCGTTTTCTGAAGAATACTGAAGGCTCTGAAGAATACTCCCAAACCCACGAATCACTGACCTAACAGTGTGGCAGTGTCTCTATCAGCAGCCTGTAGATTCAACTCTTCTATTTGCTCGAAATACGTGTCATGCTGTCCGGTGCTAATCGCGTGTCTAACCTGCAACATGGCAAGTCCCTTGGACACATGAAAAACATAATATTACTCAGGTATTCAAACATTCACAGACCGCATTGCATGTAATTTTCAATTCTCCGCAATTCAGATTTTTATAAAAACGGTTTAGAAGAGGCCGCACTGACGAAAACGAGACGCGAGTTCCTCCATGTAGCAAGGAAGAAGGGATCGTCGTCAGCGCTCATAGAGCCTATATCATGTCGGGCAACAACGCTGAAAAGAATCAGCATTGATTCCGCTGCCACAGCTCCAAAAAGGTGCCCAAAATCACCTGGCTCGAAGTTTTTTATAGTGCTGCAGCCATCCATACGACTTCTCATCCAGGACAAACAAACCGCTTGCGCATGTTGTCCGCTTGCGCGCCTGTTGAAGTTGTTTTGGGTTGGGAAACCGTCCAACCTACAGATATTACTTTCAGTCATTTTCAGTAGATTATTAGATCCAAGTATTAAACAAATTCGTTTGTAAATGGAAGCGGACACTCTACCCAATACTGCTTACAGCCGTCAGCAGTCACTGCAACGTGCTTGATGAGCCCTCTCAATTGCGTCGGGTCCTCGACTACACTGCCGTTGATTGTTTTATAGGCTAGTTCATTCCTTGAGCCGTTGCATACCATAATATACGCTAGAAGCGCGCTAAAATATATAGATGTTGTCTGCTTTAAAGTTATCTCTGAGCAGCAATGGGGTCCTCTGGCGTATACCTCAACACAAAGTTATACTCTGCATGTTGCAACGCCTGTGGTTTCCTTCCAAAAATTTTCATTGATCTCCATGATCGTTTTATCGATTACACAGTGGTTGACCACTGCCCGCATCGTTCCATAGAAAACAGTTTCTTGAAATATGGGATCTCCCACGATTGTAAGTTATGTGAGCGAAATGATTAATAAACTATGAACTAACTCTTTTTAGGGCTCTTGATGGGAAGCATCCCCTTATAAGAAGCCACTGACTTCTCCTCTCGCTTCAAGGTTCTAAGGCTGCTACACAAACTTTTTGCCGCAGTGATGACGATGCTCATCCTCTCTTGTCCCGCATCTGATTACATACAGCCATTACGAACCCGAAATGAAAGTGCAAAAAAAGTCTTTCCAAACGTACTGGGATCCATGTAGTTTCTCAGAAATTTGTAGAAAGCAATTAATGCCTTCACAAAGCTAATCCTTACGTTGACAGTCAATCCTAATTTTTGTGTAGCTGTTAAGAAATCGGTAACCATATAGTAAGAGAGTAGCGCGTCATCTATGGTCACCACATTTCCGCACCTAAAGAGCCGCAGTCACCGTTGCGCCCAGTGATCGACATAAAGACATCCACTTACCTTCCGCGACTTCGCATGGCAATCAACATAAACCGACTGACATATGTGCTGTAGGAATCTGGCCCTTTCAGCGCTTCCACGTGAGGCTGCTCCCCCGAAACTAGCTAAACATGAACCTTACGCATGCGGATAAGCATCGCTATTGTTAGGGTCAACAAATCCCTCACCACAAATGTTGTCAGCTGCTCCTTGAAAGCTTTCAGTACAGGATGATCCCCCTCTTTCAATTTCCTCCACAACTTCGTCGCTGCGTCGACTTTTAGCTGCCAGCCTTGAAAAAAAGTAGCGTGGATAAGTAGAGCAAACATAGCGAACAGTCCTGTAAAAACCTGTGCATCCGCTGGTAAAACGTAGTCCGCTGCATTAATAGGTAGTGTCGTATAGGTCATCGTAATGGCTGAACATCAATACTTGTTTGTGTGGAATATGGAGCGCAGAAGGAATATGCGGTCCACCTGTAAAGAAGGGGTGAACTTGCCTAACCTGAAAGATTGGGTAATAAGAAGTTCTCAGACTCGCCATTGTACTGAGGATCATTATTGAAGCGGTACTGCAAATTGCGTGGAACATACACACCAGAAAACGTCGCGGGTTTGTTCTAGAGGTAGATGTTGAGTAGAATATTTCCATGATAAGAATCACGAATTACTCTCCTCATCATTACGGACTGTCGGGGCGTATCAGCCAGTAGGAGTGCGCACACTGTTTGAAGCCGTTCTCAGCCTTTTCGTTGAAACGCGTATGCGACAAAAAGTGGTAGAAAACGAGTAATACGAAGGATATAATACAGTAATGTCACTTCCTGGTTCAACGATTGGTGCAGAACGGGCGCGGACGACCGCGCCAAACGCAGCCGCACTGACCCGCCCCGACAGTCCGTAATGATGAGGAGAGTATGTTTTCGCTTACTGTCTGACGTGGCGGTGGAGCAAGCACCAGCGATGGTCCCGGTTCGCCAATGTGCTCCGCGAATCGTGTATATGGGGTTGCGGCAAAGCGACTGCTTTGCTCCTCTCGCACGTAACCCTGTATTTCTGCATATCTCAAAGGCCTTAGGTAATGAGTATTAGATTATACGAACCCCGTACGTGGGCACACCGCCGTCACGCAGCTGCTTCACAACAGCTTTGTATGAATCCCACTCTCTTTCAGTGAAGGGCTCCAGCATCCTGCTCGAGATCCACACGAGCTTTCTTTATGCGCTCCAAAACTCCGCGACTCATCTGCACTAAGGCCTAAACGTAACAGTAGAGCGCCGATTTTGCATGTATTCGATTTTCAGATGATACAAAACGAGTACTCTACCTCTAGTTCATCACCTACGAATTCTTTGTGCCTGTAACGGATATGAGAGCGTAAATCAAATTTTTTATGCTTTCCACACGCTGCACAGAACTGGTAGCCGAGGTGCGGCTTTGGAGGAAGAAAAACTTCTGAATTAAAATGTATTATCACCGTACCACATTGAATTGCGAGCGTGCGCTCTTAGCGATTCGGGTGAGGATCATTGAACAAGGACTCACCTTCTGTCAATTCGACAGGTAAGGGGCTTCATCCACCCCTTCTCAATCCAAGAATACACTGACTCCTTGGCGATGTCTGCAAGATGTTTCTCGTCCTTTATCGCCCGTTTCAAGCGCTCCGCTGAGCCCTGAGCCCCTTTCGATTCTTGCACTCCGCTCTTTTCCAGAGTTTGATCTGTCCCCTGCACTTGGGTCAGTGCGTGGCCTAGTCCTTCTCCACAATTTTCCAACTTCTCGACAAACTCTCGCTTCTTAGTTGCTCCGTACATGGTTCAGACTTCTTGATCTGGAATATCTATCTGAAAAGTAGTACAGTAATAAGAACGGCAAAAAAATTTGAGCGGGGCCAAGTTCCCGTTGAATAATGTGCTCCCAGCATTGGAATCGCGCCGGTCAAGCGGCTTTCCTGACAGTTACTGTTGGATAAACGAATGAACTTCTTGACGAGAACGCTGCTGTTAGTATATTGGTATCTGTTGGGTGTTTACCATGTTATGTGTTGTATATTCATGTATAAGTTGTAAGTTACTGTATCGTGTTATACCAGACGGAGCATCTGGCTAGAAGCACCGTTAGTAGAATAATGAGTCTAACTGTGTGCGATATTTTGTAAGTGTAAACAACAACAATTTGTTGGGAACACCATCGTTGGGGATTCGCCAACGGGGGGTCGAGTTTGATCTGAAAATTTTTTCGATAGTTGATTTCTTGTTTCACATACGCTGTGAAGGGGGGGGGGTCGTATCTGCCTTTTGAGAGAAATTTGCGGCACTGGGAAAGAATTTTTCTGGTTGGTAACTTTTCGCAGTTTTCCATTTCACATGTGCTATATATCACCCGCTCGGCAGCAAAATTCCGAGGAAAAGTAGGAAAATTCTCGGGAAATTCCGGAAAAGTAGGAAAAAGTGGGCACCGGTGTCTGTGGCGCGAGCGCCAGGCAATTTCTAGCCGAGCGGATGCGATGTTCGTGTATAGGTCAATGTGCCTCTGTAAACAATATTTTTAGCTCTTCTAGAGAGGTCGATAGAATGGCCTGATGTTGAAGGATTGGGGTAGTTATAATTGAGTTGGGAATTTTGGTGGTGTCCGTACGCCTTCGCTCCCTTTAGAACGTCCGTGAAGCAAGAAAATTCTGCTATCAAAATGAATTTTTCTCAGCTCACTTACGATCCGCCAGCGCAGTTCGGCAACGGGGACGACTGACGCGAAAGGAGTCACCCCTCCTTCCAAACTCAGCCTTAGCAGAGCGCTAACTTACAACGGTGTCAAAAATAATCGGCTTTTTCGGACTCTTTCGATGAAAACTTGCATGATAGGATTAGCCAACCCTGTCGTGCAAGTTTTCATCGATTTTAAGGAGAAAGATGGTGGCGCAACTGGCACTGTCTGAGAAGGAGACAGAGATGGCTCTCATATTCGTGATCGCGTACAGTAATAGTCTTCAAGCCTGAGGTGATTCAGCTGAAAAAATATGACGACCCAAGAGTAGATCTGACGCTGTCATTCAAGGTCACTGAAGATGAACGCCATGTCCGTATTCACCGTGCTGAGTAATCCCTGCGGTTGAAGGTAAGGAGAAAAAGTGCTTGAGGTGCCTCCAAAAATATGAGAAATGCGAATAACCTACTGTACTGACAACTAAGTTCTAAACTGAGCAAAATAACCGACTGAACATAGTAGCACATGTGAAAAGGGGAAACAAACGCCTTCCCCAACTCCGACCCACTTTTTCCTACTTTTACGGAATTTCCCGAGAATTTTCCTACTTTTCCTCGGAATTTTGCTGCCAAGTGGGTTGATATATAGCACATGTGAAATGGAAAACTGCGAAAAGTTACCAAGCCAGAAAAATTCTTTCCCAGTGCCGCAAATTTCTCTCAAAGGCAGATACGACCCCCCCCCCCCTTCACAGCGTATGTGAAACAAGAAATCAACTATCGAAAAATTTTCAGATCAAACTCGACCCCCCGTTGGCGAATCCCCAACGATGGTGTTCCCAACAAAATTGTTGTTTACACAAATATCGCACACGTTAGACTCATTATTCTACTAACGGTGCTTCTGTGAATGCGAAGCGACAACTAGAAAGTCACACCACTGTATGCTGCGCCTTGTGGCTAAGTGAAAGCAGAAATCAGTACA